ATATGGAAAAAAAAATGTGCAAAATGATGTAAAAATAAACTTTGTAATAAAAAAAAATTTAGTGTAAAGATTATACATCAAACAAGTAACATACTTTTTCAACATCTTTATTCTGTTTTCTTAATCTCTCCAGCTCTTGTTCCGAAGATGTGAATGACAACTGCATCTGAAATGTGAGACAATCACATGCCTACGCAAACTAACAAAGACAGAGGTTGCTGGTCCTCCTTGGTGGCACAAAGGAGGTTAAGTCTCAGCACTACCAAGCCATGTGCAGTCACTGCAGGACAGGTTTGATCTCTGGCCAGGGAGATGACCCACATGGCACAGCAGACCTCTCTTGCCTTACCCATTGTTTCCCTCAACAGTGTATTTCAGTAGACCCACATGTTCTGCTTCTCACTCTGTCTCTGGTGACTCTGCTCACCCCCACATCTCTGGCCTGCACCCCAGTTTCTTGTATACATAAATAAATCTTTTTTAAAAATTTTTGTTCTTATAGTTTTAGTCAATTTAGTCAATTATGGTTCTTCAGGTTTTAAATTGCACCTCATATAAAATTATGTTGAATTCTAAATGACTTGAACATGGGTGTATCATAGTCAACTTGCTTTAAATTGTGCTCAAAACCTAGTTCATTTGCATGACATTACACTAGGTTCAACTAGGTGATTAATTTTTTTAACAATTAATGGCTGACCAGCTGTATTTAATCACCAAATGCAATAATGATGAATATCATTTACAACCCTAAATTCTACAAGGTTGGCCCAGGAAAAAAGTGACAACAGATGATATTCTTTAGTACATCCAAGTAAATGGGGAAAAAATTAACATTCAAGTTCCATAAATAGTAGTAGTAGATAATCTAAATATGCAACATTAATGTTCTAAAACTTATCTTAAACCCAAAATCCCCTACCTGTGTCATCACATATTCTTTCTTTAACTTTCTACGCACACTCTGTTATCACTACCTCTTGGCTATATTCTAAACCTGTGATTTCTCAAAGTTGGGTGAGCATCAGAATCACTTGAGGACATTATTTGATATACAGACTTCTTACCCTACCAAGTTTCAGGTTCAGGAAATCTGGGGGAAGCTCAAGAATGTGTACTTTTTAACAAGTTCCTAGAGATGCTGCTGCTGCTAGACCACACTTTGAGAACCAATAATCTAAGCTACTTTTTTAAATACCTGTTTAATAGTCTTTTGTGATTCATCAACCTTAACTTTCCATTTATTCTCTTCTTGCTCCACACTTCTCTGTAGCTTCTGCAAAATTCCTTCCTACAGAAAAAAGTAAAGTTATTTTGAAAACCTCAGGTTCTAATGCCAAGATGTTATTTAAGCTGCTGAAGGGATAATGATTAAAAAATAATCATAATAAAAAATGTAGATTAAAAATCATTTCCTACTGTTTCTGCAAGGACGGATTTATATTTTTCACACTCTAGCTGCAACAACGAGTGCATTTCATCAGCTTCTTTCAGCTTGTGCTCTAGAACCTGCAAAGAATGAGAAAAGAAAGATTCTCTAGTTACCAAAAAAGTCTTATGGTTCAAATTTGCTTCAATACTTATTGGTAAGACAAATGACTTCTGTTTATAGCTAAAGTATATAAAAAATTAGATACATTACACAATACTTGATATAATACATTTCAATCTCTGTAGGTTCCAATAAAGGTTAATGATTTTTTTGGTCATTTGGCTTTTACTAAAACTTCCTGAGTCAGCTTAATATAAAAAACACATTACAAATTGCTTAAGAATCAGGCTTCTCACTCTTCAGCTGGTAAAATCAAACAGATCCTCTTATGAAGTAGAAACGTAACAAGTTTCATTTGTTAAAGATAAAAAGGCATCCAGGTTCTGAAGATACCTAATGATAAAACTGGGAGTACTTTAGCAAACAAATGTCTGTCTACCTACTTATCTCTTCATTTTTAAAACTCAGTTAAATAAGTGAGGAGGGTGTTCTGACGGACTATGGTGGAGAATTATCAGTGCTTTGGTTGTGGGCATGGTGTAATAACATGTATCTCGAAGAGGTATGAACTTATACCTTAAATCCCATATAGTATTATACACCAATGTTACCTCAATTAAGTCACAATTTAAAAAATTAAATTTAAAAAGCGAATAAAGATTGTTAAATGTTCAGTTTTATAAATGGTTAAGAGTTAAATGGCAAACATTACCCTTGTATATAAAACAAAGCCAAGAATTTGTTTTAAGAAACAAATTACAGAATTTCTACCAAAATTTTCACAAAATGTAATCACCACCTTACACTTTCTCAAAAGATTATTTACTCGTATCTTTATCATTACCAACTTCATAAAAACAAATTCTAATTTTTTCAATGCTCAGTTAAAATATATTTGTCTTGAACTAACCTTAATCTCCTCTGAACCAGCAGTTTCACCCACACATTCTTTTGCCTTCTTTTCAAATCCATGCAACCATTCACTATAACTCTGTGAAGAAAAGTCAAAATAACTAATTTCCAATATACAAGTAGGTTAAAAACACTGAAGTAACAAAGTTAGATTATAAAAGACCAACAAACACTACTCCCTCTCAAAACTTCAAAGAAAAAATATACGATTATGGGTTACATAATCTAGTCTTGAAACATACACTGAAAATGTAAATAACTACAATTATCAAAATTAAATCTTATTTATCCTGACAAGGACTATCTGTAATTGAAGTCTGGACTTATAAGTAGAAGAGGTGAGCTCAAACTCAGTTTCCATCACTTACTAATACAGGACTAAGAGTCAAAACAGAAAAAGAATTCTTTTTTCAAAACATTTTTTTATTTAGGTAAGTCTGTTCATGAAAATGAAGTATAAGTATTCTGAGTTCATGAACTGACAGTATTTCAGAGAATTTCAAATTCTGTCAAAGTGCTCCAGGAATCTGAAAAATTAAGTATGTTTTACAATACTACAAAGTATTGTAAAAAGCATGATGAGAGATGATAAGAATACACAAACATTTATTTGTTGAAACCAACAAACCTCTCTGTACTGACAGGTTAGCTGATTTAAACACAAGCTACACATAATAATTTTTATTTTAAATTTTAGAATTATTATCATTTACTTGATTCAGTATTAAACTGATAGTGTTAATTACATTTAATCATATTTCCTCTGTCCACTTTTTAAGTCACAAGTTAGTTTGCTCACCCCACCACCCAAAGATAGAAATTTCAATTAAGTGCTCTAATTAAACCTTTACTTTTATGGCTGTATCAGGATTCTCTAAACTCTATTAAATAAGCATAAAAAACAAAATTGGATGCTACATTATCTCAACTGAGATCTCTCCTATGTTGACTTGTTTAATAATAAAGCAACACTAAATAGTAAAATGTAAAATAACCTATTTCATGTATAAAAGCCCTTTTGTATACACTGGTTATATTCATCTATCTTAATACTGAATTTGATTATTTTATCTTATAAGGTAAATAACTTGTAATTTTTTCATATCTTTTAAAGCCTAAAATCCTAAGTGCTAAATACAACAGTTTAACGTATTACTTAAATACAGATTACATGCAGCATATTAAACTTTTAACAAGTGGATAAACAAAAGCTAAATATCACATCAACATCATATAGTAATAAATATTTATAGTGTCAAAAAGATATGGCTATTCAGGATGAGTAAGATAGCTATTAAGAATCAATATCACATTAAAAATAAAATTCAATATTGTTGATATATATATTTCTTGAGGAATAGAAATTATAAATTGTTTTGACTCAAAAAAAAAACCTAAATAAATAAGTCCTCAAATTTTATTCCCAATAACTGTTAAATATAAATCAGGAATAAAGGTAATGATCATTAAAGGAAAAAATACAAAATATACTAACAACAACCCCTTCTAGGTTCAAGTAAGAACTGTTCTAGAACTGACAGCATATCAATTATGTTCAGCCAGAAAGTTATTTTATCAATTCAAATGATAGAAGACTTCCATTAAATTTATCACACCTAAATTTACCCCTCACCAGTTACAATGGGAAAAAATATTCTACTTCTTATACAAGTTAAATATATATTACTAGACACAACCTACAAAGGAAGCAGTTAAACTCCAGTACATTAAAACCAGCCATTAAGTTTACTTATACTACACATATCAACTACAGAAGCGACAAGAGCTCCTTTGGAAAAATAAAACAGTCCAAGTTTGGAGCAGGAAATATATGATAAATCAGGAACACCTTGATACACCTGGGCCTCGCTGGATGCCTAGGGGTTAAATCTCTGCACTGCAGCCTGAGTTTGAACCTTGTCCAGAGAGCTAACCCACATATGGGCGCAGGAGACCTCTCCTGTCTTCTCCCATAGCAACTCTTAGCAGTCTATTTCAGCAAAATCCACATGTTCTGCTCCCCAGCTTTCTCTCTGGTGAGTCCTCTCATCTCCTATTCCCTCTGGCTTATACACCAGTTCTTCTATGCATAAATATGCAATCTTTTTTTTTTTAAGTGCACAACACTACCTATGAAGTAGCGTTGTCCTGATCCCAATTTACCCCAAGTATTGTGCCTGAATCAAGCTTCTACTGAATACCAATTTGCAGAAGACACAAAGGACACATAATCTTAGGCGTGCTGTTCAGCTAAGCCAAGATGGGAGACTACACCAGTCTACATTCCCACGAACAATGTATGAGGGTTCAATTTTTCCCATATTCTCACCAACATTGTGGTTTCTAGACTTTTTGATTATGAGACCTTCTTAAGGGTGTGAGGGAGTGAATCCTTGCCTTTTGTAACATAGATGGAACTGGAAGGTATTGTACTGGAAGGTATTGTGCGAAGGAAAATAAGTCAGATGGAGAAAGACAAATATCAGATGGCGTCATTTACGTGTGAAATACAGAGAAACATAAGGTCAGATTAAAACAAACCAGTAATAAATCCTAGAAATCTAACAGAACTGAGGTTATAAGAGTTGTAAGGAGAGTGGGGAGAAAAAAGTGGGGAAGGGGCACAATAGACTATGGTGGAGGATTTTTAGTGCCTTGGTAGTGGGTGAGGTAACATACAGCTGAAGGGTGTGATCCTATACCTCTTAAATCATATGTGATGTTGTAAAAGCAATGAAACCTCAGTAAAAAAATCAATACAAACTACAATAAATGTCTTTTCATTAAAATAGACAATTTATAAAGACAGAAATGTTAGTACTCATGAGATTTATGAAATTGAGGATGATTTCTAATTGTAATTGATTATTTTTTAAGGAACCTTTGCTTCTTATAAATGTACTGAAATATTTAAAGATGAAATGCTGAAAGTTTACTTCCTTCAAAATAATCTAGGAAGTGCAGGGTAAAAGGTAAAATAATATTGCTTCATGTCAGTGTATCCTATGTGTTGATAACTGCTGAAATCCAAATGATACTGGATACATCAGACTTACTACGCTATTCTTTCTACTTGGGAGTGTGTATGTAATTTTCCATTAAAATAAAACGTTGCACCACTGTTTTTAGGAAACCACATACACACTCACTGGGTTGCACTGCCTTCAAATGCTCACTATATTAATTCTCTGAGCTAAGGCAACTTTTCTACCCCAGGTAGTGCAGGTTGTTTCTTACTATCTACAAGACTTCTTCAAGATCTGTTTGAAAAAAGTTAACAGATGGTCAAAATCTTTGAGTGTTGAAATGAAAAGAACATAGTTCATAGGATTACATATTCAATTTAAAAAGTGTTCCTAAAATTAAGAAGTAAAAACTTAAAATTAAGTTCAATTTTTGAATAAAGGGGTTTATTAACTATTGTAATTTCTTTCTCCCTTTATATTCTGCTGGATAGTATTTCATATGTGTTTTGTAGAATACAATGAAGGTATCACTAGAATAAGCAGAAACAAATTTTGAACTCACTGTCTTAACTATAAGTTACTGATCTTAACTATGTAAAAACACCCTAGTGAAAAATGCAAAAGATAAGAATTTGGTTAATCTTTGGGTGCACTATTGAGTGCAGAGTTCAATTGCTGCTTATTCAAAAGCTCCTTGATGCGTGTCTAAAAAGTAATTTATCTTACCAAATTAGAAGGGACAGACACCTTAGGAAATAATTTTTTGAGAACTTCCTTAGCTTCCAATTCAACAGCTTCCACATGTTGTTGTCTTTCCTAAAGCAGAAGATGAATCAAATCAAACTTTCAAGATTACAGAAATAAAAAGCTATGGTCTTTTAATTCTCTGGGAGGAAAGTCAAAGTAGTCTAAAAAATCATTTTAATACTGATTAACATTAAAACTTCCTATTTTAAAATGTCAAAATACTTCCATAAGAAAAAAAAATCTTCAAAATCTCTAAAGCATTATAGATAACAAGTGATGTGTTATGTTAAGCAAAAGCAGTATCTAACAACGTGAGACATTTACCTTATCATTAGAAATCCAGGAACAATTAACAAAAAATACACTTCCTATAACAAAAACTTTGTATGTATAAAAATAACACTTCTTATAGCTGAAACTTAAACTACATGCAAAATAAATATGCATCTGAACAACATAATGGAGGCTAATTGGCTGACCAATATCTACACAAAAATGCTTCACTGATACTAACTATGACAACATGGGAGTAAAATAGCAACTTGCATATGGTTAGCTTCCAAGGGTCAGGTGAAGTCACTAATGTTAAAGTGAAAAAAGACTCCCTGATGGCCTAGGGGTCAAGTCTCAGTGCTATCACCACTATGTCTTGAGTTCAATCCTTGGCCAGGGAAGTGACCCACATAGGGAGCAGCAAACCTCTCCTATCTCGCCCACTGTTCCCCTTAGCAGTGTGTTTCAGCAGATCTACTGTGTCTCTGGTGAATCCGCACACATGACCCCACCCAGTAAGCCCACACTCCCTTTCTTCTACACAAAAATAAAAATTAAAAATAATTTTGATGAGTGGTACATACCGGAAAAGGAAAAGAAAAAGAATAACTGCTAGAACATACTACTACACAAATGCAAGCATCAAGACTAATGCTGACACTTGTGACACTCTGCCAGCTATAAACTTAAAGTATTGCAAACATGTCCAAATTTGGTTACTTTAAATCCAAGTACAATAAACTTCAATTACTAATTCAAAACCATGGTTTGTCAAAATTAGGGTAATGACTTGAATTACAGACAAAATAAAAATCTAATATTTAAACTATCACTACATGATTTAAAAAAAAAAAAGGACCTATAAAAATGCATAGCTAAACGAAGTCCATCTCAAAATATTTGTGAAGTTCAGCAGGTGATCAGAAGGCAGGCAAGTTAGTTGACACTGCTATCCTACTATCCCCTCATTATTTGTAGTTGATCTTTGAAATCTATTACAAACTTAAGGTGCATATACTTCACTTTAAAAATCTAATAACATGAAAACCTAAAGTACATATAAAAAAACTAAAGAATCATTCCATACACAGGGGAAAACTATTACTTTATTAACTATTACTGGTAGGATTTTAAAAATATGTCTAAACAGAGTGTTCTTAGTAGTTCATAAAGCCCACTCTTTCTCTGAATATACCTACTTAAAATAAGACACACTCACTCAAGGAAAATTGTCAATATAGAGCTATTTAAGAGGGTATTTATATCATGTGAGCATAACACTAGTAAAATAATCTCTAAATAAAGATTACTTAGGATAAAACTGGAACAGCTCTTCTGGAACCTTCCCCAAAGGAAAAAAATATAACTAAAGGATGTCTCTAACTTATAATCAAGAGGCACAAAGAAAACTACTTTACTCTGCATTAACATTTTTAGGTATTAAAAAAAAATCTCTCATTTCACATAGCAGTTTGTAGATTTCAAACATATGGGAAAGATCAATTATTATAAATTGCATATTATAATTTCCTTAGTGTCATTACCTAAATGTACTATATACATGCAGTATCTTCCATGTGAACCTGAGCCTATCACTTATAGTAGCTCAAGTATATTTACTAATTCAAATACTATCCTGGAAAAATAGTACATCATCCTATTACATTTAAAGTAAATCAACAGTCATGTATTTCTGTCACTTGAAACATAAAAGGTGTTCTACCACTCTCTCAGCATAACTTGTGGTATCGTGGCAGTCAATTTATTACTTACCTATGCTATCTGAAGACTGTCTAAATTTCATTAAAATATACAAAAACTAGGGCCCACCTTGGTGGTGCAGCCGGTTAAAACACACCACTAAAGGGCCCTCCCTGGTGGCGCAGCGGGTTAAAGCACAGCACTAAGAAGCTAAAGCCACTTCCGCATGAGTTCGATCCCTGCCTGCCCCGGAGGAGATACACATGGCGTGGCAGACCTCTCCTAACCTGCCCACTGCTCCCCTCAGCAGTGTAATTCCTCTATCTGCCTGTTTTGCTCCCCACTCTGTCTCTGGTGAATCCTCTCATCACACCTGCACCTCTGGCCTGTATACCAGTTCTGTATGAATAAATAAATAATCTTAAACACACACACACACACACTAAATTCTGGGGTTTTTTTAGCGCCTTAAACACTTGGTGGTGAGTTTTGAAATATGGGTAAATTCTGATACTCATCATCAACCACATGAAAAAGCATGCATCAATTAAAGCTTTCTTTAGAATCATGATACACAGAAATTTCTATGAAAGGTGGCATATAACTTCCTGCTAGAATGACAAGGTAGAGATTACCAATTCTTAGACACCCTTTGTCATTAACCAAGGTAGTTAACTCGTACCAATGAAAAACAAAGTTGAAGAAATACTCAGGAGCTATTTCAGAACC